AATGTAAACTCATTCAAAATCTTTTAACATTAATCAACTTTCGAAGCATGTCGTGCAAATGCTAGGGGTAGTCCTTTTCTTTTTGAAAATAAAAATATTACTCTCCTATGCCTAACAAATCCTTCTAATACGAGTGTTGCTAAAGATGACACATCGATGCCAAAAAAAAAAAAACACAAAAACAGAAAACCAAAAAAAAAATCATTTGATATTATAAATGATGATGAGTGGTATGCATTCGGATCATGATTTTACTTTATCCATTACTTCTTCTTTATAAGTCAATCATAGTTTTCTAATGAAATTAGAGCTTATCGACCTAAACAAGATCATATTTGAAATGAAGAAAGACCATTTTTGGTATATTTTTCCATAAATAAAACTTATCCCTTGTTGTCCAACTTTGAGCCTAAAGGATTTCTTTCAATAATGATTTAGACTAGGTTCACTACTCACACTCGGGGGTAATCTTGAAGCTTGTTAGTAATCAAAGATGTTCTCCTAAAAAACCGGATGAGAAAGGATGATGATTGTTCATAAAACTAGAACTCGTCTAGAAAACCCTTGAAAGACTTTGAAAAAAATGAGAGAAGTGAAAAACAAAAGTGAAAGCACCAAAACAAAAAGAAAGTGCTATTTAGAGTGATCCCTCTCATGACTTAAAGGTTGAAATGCTAGGGTTAGAAATCTCTAAGAAAAAAAATGACAAGAGAGAACATGAAAGGAGGGTCGAGATTAGAAGATGAGATCAATCGACAAGATGACAAAGTCAAAATGGCATGCCTAAAGTGATCTCGATGAACAACTAAGTGATCATAAGTCTTTACACCCTCAAACACATTTTGAGCCTTTTATACCCTTTCATTTATAAGCCAAAACCTTAGCCTTCATTACTTATCTCGTGAAAGCCTTTTTTGATTAAAGATGACTTGTTTGTGTTGATGATTTTTAGATTTAAATAAGAAGAAGACAAATGTTTTTGAATAAAAATTGACTTATTTGTTTTATTATAAACCATCATTTATGACATTAAATCATAAATTTTTGTCAAGTAACTAGGGGTAAGAAAGAAATAAATTGAATCTTTCTAGGAAAGACCATCCATTTGAGCTAAACTTCTTTCGAAACTCTTTCAGTTCCTAAAATTTATCCAAGCATGCCATGCTCCGAGACTAAACTTTTACCAATCACTTATCATGAGAGACCAATCCTTTTCAAAACCTTTATGATCCAGACATATTTTGCTCATCTTAGCCTCAAAATGGATCATATGAGAATTGCATCTCAACATTACATGATACGTTTTAGCTTTTGATAAAAAAAAATTCTGAATGAGATTACTTTCTTATGAACATCTCATTGAATAATTCAACTTTCCTTAATGGAAAATTTTAAATAGATGACCTAATCCATAAAAGTAACAATGAATGAAAATGATTTTCTTAAAATTAAAAAAAATTAAAAAAAATCTCTCAAAGACAAGTTTACATAATCAAGCGCAAACATTGAAAGAAGATGAATGACATGGACAACAACAATGAATGGTAAATGATTAATGGTGGATCATTACCAATGCTTTAGAAAGATGTTATGCTCGGACTAGTCGTAAATCTATGTCGGTAATTAAAGACCAAACATTTCAACCTCTCTCTTATCCAAAGTAATAAGGAGATAATCTAAGTTATGGCTAAATATTCACTAGCACGATCATTTGACTTTGCTCCTTTTATTCTTTATTCTCCCAACATAATGTGGCTTATAATCTTTCGTCTCTCAAAAACTCTTGTTTTTACAAGTATGATCAGTCCTTACAAAAAAAAAAAGAAAAAAAAACTCTCCTTTGGTCTCATGCACGATCTTGTAATTAATATCATTCATGATATATGATAATACATCAAATTGACATATGATAACTTGATAAGGATCATACTTGGATTTAGTCTACAAGTGGTCTACCTCCATGAAATCGTTATGAGCTTTCTCTTGATGAACTATAGATAATTGACACAAAAGGCCACCTTAACCATTTTAGGCTAGACTCTTGATATGTGGTTACAAAAGCCCGAACATTTAGGGATAATACAAAAAGGGCACATAAAAATAGTGATCACCTATTTAGTTAGAGGAGCGAGCATCACTCAAATGACACAAACAAGTAGTCCAAATAGCAACCATCAACGAATACAAGAACAAAGGGCATAATCAAAAATACAAACAAGCAAGCTTAATGAAAGTAGTTAGCCTAGAACTATGAGCCTATTCAAGCTAGATGACACATAAATGAAAGAAAAAAGGGAAAAACTATGTTTTGGTAGTGACGACCTATGCTTCTTTGAAAACTCCATGTTAGTCTAATTCAAAATAGTCATTCATACCTCGTCGAAATTGACATGGCATATCCCATCTAGCCAAACTCGATGTCGCCAATCACATCCTACCAAAATTGACATGGCCGATTACATCTTGCCAAATTTAATGTGGCTAGTTACGTCTAGTAAAAATTGATGTGGTTAGTCACGTCTAGCCAAAATTGAAATGGTTAGCCACATCATATCAAAATCGACATGGCTAGTCACATCTTGTCAAAGTCGACATGGCCAATCACGTCTTATCAAAATCAATATGGCTAGTCACATCTTCCAAAAACCGATGTGACCATTCACATCTTGCCAAAGTTGACATGGCTAGTCATGTCTTACCAAAATTGATGTGGCTAGTCACATCTTTAAAAAAATCAATACGACCAATTATGACTTTCAACTTGATGTTGCTAATCATGCCTTTTCAAAAATTTAATTTAAAATAACCAATTATGTCTTTCTAAAATTTTAATTTGACATGTCTAGTCACATCTTTTCAAATTTCAATTTGGCTCGGCTAGTCATATTCTTTTTACTTTGACATGGCCTATCACATCTTTTTAAAATTTTTACTTGACATGGCTAGTTGTCCCCTTTTCAATTTGGCACAACTAGTCATGCCCTTTTAACTTGACATGGCCATTCATGTCTTTTCAAAATTTTAATTTGGCATGGCTAGTCACATCATTTCAAAATTTTAACTTGGCATGGCCATTCGTGCCCTTTATAATTTAACGTGGTCGGTAACGTTCTTTTTAAATTAACATGGTCATTCATGTCCTCCTAAGTTGATGTGGTTAGTCTGTACCCATTTCAAATCATCATGGTCGATCATGTTTTCTTGTAAATTGACATGGTCATTCATATCCCTCTAAGTTGGCATGGTCAATCGCATCCCTTTCAAATCAACATGGTCAGTCATGTTTTCTTCTAAATTAACATAGTTAGTCATATCCTCCCAAGTCAGCATGGTTGGTCATGCCCCTTTAAAACAACAAGTTCGGTCATGTTCTTATCAAGTTGGCATGGTCAATCATGTCCCTCTTAGTCGATGTGGTTAGTCACACCCATCAAATCAACATGGTCGGTGATGTCTTCTTCTAATTTGACATGATTAGCCATATCTTATAAAGTCAACATGGTCAATTATGTCCCTCCAAGTTAACATGTTGATTCATGTTTCTTTTTAATTTGACATGGTTAGTTATGTCTCCTAAAGTCGATATGGTTAGTCACAACCCTTCAAATCAATGTGGTTATTCACATTTCTTTTTAATTTAACATGGTTAGTCACGTCCATATAAAGTCAAGCATAGTAAGTCATGGTCGGTAGCACCCCATCAAATCAATATGGTCGACCATGTTTCTTTGAATTTGACATGGTCGACCATGTCCTTCCAAGTTGAGGTGGCTGGTCGTGTCTCGTCAAATCAACATGGTTAGTCATATCTTTTTTAAATTAACATGGCCGATCATGTCTCTATAAAATCTAGGTGGTCGATCACTTTTCTTCAAATCAGCATGGTCGATCACGTTTCTTTTTAATTTAACATCATTAGTCATGTCTCTACAAAGTCGAGCATGGTCGGTTGTGGTCAATCATACCCCATCAAATCAATGTGGTCGATCACGTTTCTTTTAAATTGATATGGTCATTCATGTCCATCTAAGTTAGCATGATTGATGGCCCCCCATCAAATCAACGTGGTTAGTCAAATTTTTTTTAAATTAACATGGTTAGTCATGTCCTTGTAGAATCAATGTGGTCGATCACGTCCCTTTAAATCAACGTGGTTAATCAAATTTTTTTTGAATTTGACACGGTTAGTCATGTCCCTACAAAGTCCGGCATTGTCATTTGTGATCAATCATATCCCTTTCAATTCAATATAGTTAGTCACGTTTTCTTTTAATTTAACATGATCAGTCATATCCCCGTATAATCAACATGGTCGGTGACTTCTGTCAAATATACGTGGTTAATTAGGTGTCTTTTAAATTGACATGGTCGGTAATATCCTTCCAAAACAATTGACATGGTCGGTCGTGTTCTTTCAAAAATTCAACATGGTCGGTCATGTCCTTTTAAAAATCAACATAGCCAATCAAGTGCTCTTAAATTTTCTTTTATTTCTTTTTACAAGCTTACTATACAAAGCCAAAGAAAAATCTTTTCCAATGACTTTGCAATGTTAGCATTGTAAAGAGGGGACAACTCGTTAGCACTCAATTGTTTTCTAATAATTCTCATTTTATTTTTGGCTTTTTTACAAAAATATGAAAAAGAAATGATAAACCAATCAAAAATGCCAAAAAAGAAAAAATTAGAATAGTTAGCTTAGATTAGTTTTAGGAGGGGGCTCACGAGAGAGAGAGAGAGAGAGAGAGAGAGAGAGAGAGAGAGAGAAAGAGTTTGGAAATCAAAAAACGAGCAATTGAAGACCCAATTAAAAACTCAAAAACTTTGGTCCCTTGTTTAAGTTAAAAAGGGCTTAATTGAAAAATATTATAAAGAAAAAGTCCTAATTAATTACAATTTAAGGGCCTCATCAAAACAAAAACAAAAATTAATCTTAAATTAATGGATGGTAGGGAATTAAAGACCAAATTAGACTTTTGCCAAAAAAATCTAAAAATTACCTATAAAACCCTTGCATTTTTTGGTATAATCCACTCGTCATTGTCACCTTGTTGGATCAAGCTACCATCTTCCTCCTACAACAAAAAGAAAAAACTCAAGTAAAAAGCTCCCATCCTTTCTCTATCCCTCACACACCATAACCCCCCATACACACATCACAATCTTCTCCTCCTCGTACACCCACATAGCTGCTCCTCCATGCATAACGGTTCCAAGCAACCTAAATAAACAAGCATAGCCTATATCTCTAGCTCTCTCCCATGCAACTCCACTAACCAACCTTGTGTACGCATCAACTCGCTCTATTAGCAAGCTCGTGCATATAGCAACCCCGATAAGGAATTCGTGTAGCTTCTCCAATAGCAACTCATACGTGCACCGGATTTTCTAATAACAAGCTCGCGAGCACACCAATAAGGGGCCATCATGCATAGTTTTTCCATGTAGTAACTTCTCCTCGTGCATGCTCACCAACTAATACAAGTATCCTTTGCGTGCTAGTTATGCCTAGCTATACCTCACGTCTATCGGTATTAACCTTACATGCTAATCCCCTTCCCCAACCTTACATTCTAACATTAGCCCCTACAATTCTAGCAACGAACCCCTATAGTGCCTTATAAGCCACTACTATCCCTTTTTGGCTAGTTTTTACCAACCAAAACATTAGCCTTTACAGTCGCTTTTGCAACCCCAAAATAGCCCTAAAATAACGACCTTTATAGCTCCTTTGTAGCCCTAGAAGAGCCCTCAAACAAGTCATTTACAACTCCTCTAAATAACCTTTTATAGCCCCTCCCCCCAAAACAACCCTTCACAACCACCCAAAATAGCCCCTTTAAATAGCCCCAAAATGGACTCAAAACATCTCTTTTTTGGCCAACCTTTTCCTCACAATACAACCTTAGTCTATAGCTTCGGTCCCTCCTAAGCTATTAAAAGAAAAGAACATGATGTTATAGATTGCATTTGTTTGATTTTTTACTTGGAAAAACATAACAACAACTTGTTGCTAAGTCCCTTAAGTGTCAAGAAACTTTGTAAATTTAAAAGGATTTTGCTAATTTGTAGTGACTTTGGTTAGTAACAGCAACTATGGCCATTTGCACTAACTTTAGAGAAATTTTTAGTTGTTTTAGAAGAACCTAAATGACGCTTTGACAATAGGTAGCTACTCTCTTTCTTTGACTAGCTAAATAATCAATTATCATCAAGAACGAAGGGAGTAGAACCGACCCCTAAATTAGAATTTTGAATTATAGGAATTTTGGGTAAAAATTCTAAAGCCACTACACTCCCTAAAATATGGATTAAAAAATGCTTGCATTCCTTCAAAATATGAATGAAATCATAATATGTTGTTTGAATATTCATAGTTTAAATGTGGTTAAGGTAAACATTGCTGTAATGATCATTAATGGACAAACTACACTCGTTTCTTATTTTATGTCGGTCCGCTTAAACGTAAAATTTATGCCAATTTTATGGTTCAGCTTAACTTTTGGTGACTAGTTTCAATGATAAAATGAAGCCGCCAATAGCTTTCTACTAGTGTGATGAAGTTGTCGATAGGTGTTGGAATCATTTTATCTATTCTTGTGCCTATTCCATATTTTATGTTTCCTATTTTCCAATTTCTTATTTTTTGTTCCTATTTCTTGTTTCATCAAAATGAAGCTGCCGATGGCTTTTAACTAGCATTACAAAGCCACTAATGGGTTCAAGAATCATTTTATCTATTTTTCGTATATGGTCCCTATCTTAAGTTTCCTATTTCCCAATTTCTTATTTTCTTTTCCTATTTCTAGTTTTCTATTTTTTTTCTAGCTTCATCGAAACAAAGTTATCGGTAGCTTCTTACTTATGTGACGAAGTCGCTAGTGAGTTTGAAACTATTTTTTCTATTTTCTATACCAATTTTCTATTTTATGTTTCCTATTTTTTGATTTTTTTATTTTCTATTCCAGTTTTCTATTTTCTATTTCTTGTTTCTTGTTTCATCAAAATGAAGTTGCCAGTAACTTTTCACTTATGTGATGAAGCCATCTATGGGTTTTGAAATCATTTTATTTGTTTTTTGTACTTGCTTCTTTTTATATGTTTCCTGTTTTCTAGTTTTTAGTTTACTTTTTTAGCTTTCTATTTTATGTTTCTCGGTTCTTATTTTATTAAAAAGAAGCTATTGGTAGCTTCCCTCGTGCGTGACGAAGCCATCGATGCATTTCAAAATTATTTTATCTATTTTTTTATGCATCTTTCTTGTTTCCTATTCTTCTTTTTTTTGTTTCTTGTTTCATTAAAATGCAACTACTAGTGGCTTTCCACTTATGTCACAAAGCCACTAGTGGTTTCAAAATAATTTTTATTTATTGTGTAATTGTTTGAAACAAAGTCACCGAGTGGCTTTCCACTTATGTGATGAAGTCGTTGATGACTTTCAATAGTTATCTACTCCTTACTCGAGCTAAATAAAGTGATCGGTAGCTTCTCACTTATGTGTGATGTTATCACTAGATTTTTAAATTTATGACTCAAAATCATCGATGACTCCATGCTCATGCAAATAAAAGGCTATTTGTAACACCTCTAACCTAGGACCGAAAAGGTTGAGAATATTATCGCCACCAGACCTACATTGAAGTGCAATGAATGTAAGGTAATAAGGCACTATGACTTATTCCTAACATTTTTAGGTACAAATTACACCACGTAAGCCTAATAATAATAATTAGGCCCTACAATTTATTCTAAAATGCACCATAAATTTTTCGCATTTTATTATTTTATTTAGTTTCTATGGAGTAAATCAATTGAATCTATGACTCTTGATTTTCCTAAATTCCTTTTTCTTTAATTTATATAAATTTAATTAAGTACAATTTATTACTTGATACTTACTTTTTTTTTATTAGTTTACCTTTTATTTTAATTACAAATTTATTTTTACCTTATTATTTTGTGATTACTTATTAGTTACCATTTACCTTTGTTAAGGTTCTAATTTACTTGTGGTACTAGTCGTGAAATAAATAACTTAGAGAAAATTACACTAATTATCATTACACTACTATTTTATTATCGATATTTTATTTACATACATAACAATACTAGCATTAAAAACCCAGTTTGATACCACATACTACAAAAGCGGCTTATTTATCAATCCACATTATATTAGTTGTTTACTATCAATTTGTTCATTACTTTAAGTACAACATAAAACAACCTAGCTAATCCTAATACATATATGACAATACCTAATACCAAGAAGAAAATAGCGTGGAGTAGGTCGACCTAAAAGCCAAATCCCTATCAAAGGTATAAATGTCAAGTGCAACCATTGGAGATCAACTCGACAGAGAAGTAAGCCATGATCACTTTAATTATCTACATTACAAGAAACTAAGTGAGCGACAACTTAGTAAGTTAACTTATGCATGTCATGCATGTACATGAATATGCATATATAAAACACAGATATGCTCATATTAAATCCTTTTTTGTGTCATAAATACTTTTCATGATCAGTTTAAAAATCTTTTTATCTTTTTTGGACATGTCCCATAACAAGTACTTTAGGATTTCCATAATATGTCTAGCAAACCATACCCGTCTATAGACTCATCCTATCGAGCCTCTAAAAGTGCATGTCCGTACTTGCCCGGCCCCGAACCATTTACCATAAGAGTATGGAAAACCCATAAAGTCCTTCCTCATAAAATTCCTCGAAGTCATGAAAATCATCTTTTCATAAAATAGTTTCAATTGTTATTTGAAAACCATGACCTAAAATACATTTTCATGACTTGAAAACATTTTTTCATAAAATTTGGCATGCATAGGTGCCCCGATAATACATAAATTCAATAATATAAATGCATTATCAATGTTACCTTTAATAAGTAATTTCAAGCCACAATAATTAATACCAACACTAATACACCATTCATATAACATAATTCCACATTCATTAAAATTGCAAATACATTCAACATACATATTTCAAATATGCCAAATGACACTCAAAAACACAATTACACATTAAGTTACACAAAATAAATCTTAAATCTTAAATTTTCCTAACCTAGGTCAAATTATGTCATAACCTAACCTAACTATTTTCTTTCAATTTTAGCATCTATTTCACACATTATTCTACTTAATTTAATCCTAACTTAAAGAACTAACTTTATTAGGTGTTAACTAATTATATGTACAATTCCCACTTTGGGCCTTATTGGGTCCAAACTCTAACCTTACTAATAAAAGATAATTTTTTTATTTTTATGAAATTTCTCATTCTAATCCATCTCATTACATCATTCTAAGTATAAATTAATAAATTGAGTGCTAAGGATCCTTTAAAACCTAAACCTTAATTTGTTCATTTCTGGCTACATTTATCCTTAACAAAAACCTAATTATTTTCTTCTAATTTCATCATTAATTCTAATACCAAGCAATTGAATCACTCATTAGCAATAAAAATCAATTTAATTGATATTTATAGAACAAATACATGTCTAAACCCTAATTAGGCCTTAATGGGATGAAATTAGCCCTAAGCTAAATTAAGCAATTTTCTTTAACTTTCTTATAATTTTTTTTTCTATTCATCAAATTATACTCAATCAACTACTAGTTGACTAATAATTCATGAATTGGATCAAGAAATCAAAACCGTAAATTCTTAAGTTTTAGGTCGAATAAAAACCTAAGAAATTCATGGGGTTTTCTTCCATTTAAATTAAAATTTTCACTCCTAAACACCGATTCACACCTAATTAAGTAATAATTAAGCTATAGAACAAAAAAGTACATGAAAGAATCAAAAAGCCCTAAATTACCATTTTGGGCCAAAAACTCACCCATGCCTAATCATAGAAATTTTTTATTTTTAAATGTCAAATTTAAGTTCAATTAACATGTTTCAACCTTAATTGCATGAATTATTAAATTAATTTCATTTTTCCAATTTTTTTTCACTAAGAACCCTAACCCGAATTTTCCAAACTTTAAGCAAAAAAATCACAAATTAAATCATATAAAGCACAAAATGACATCAATTAAATACTTCTTGTGATGTAGGTGAAGTTAACTTACTTAATTAATCTCCAAATTAATGTTGGAACCTTGGATGATTTACGAATTCTCCTTCCCCATTTTCCTCCACCAATTCATCTTAATCCCAAAAATATCCTCTTGGTAAACTTTGATCTTGTAGCTTGATTTCTTTTCTTGGTTAGTTGATTTGAAGTGTTTGGATGTGATTTAGTGGGTTTTAGGTGGAAATTCCTAAGGAAATTTTGCAAGAGTTTTCTTTAGATTTAGCTAATTTCCATCCATTTTCTTAAATTTGTTGCACCTATATTTATAGCTAAATTTTGGTTGAATTTTGACCTCATCTCCACCCTTGAATTGCTGTATTTTGGAGTGACCCTAGCCCTTAAATTAAGTTTAAATCTTAGCCCTTCAAATGGACTAATTTTTAGCCATTAACCTATCTTTAATATTTAGCCTTTCATCTTGCATTCTCTTAACCTTTCCTTTTTAAACAAGTCAAGGCTCATTAATTAACCCTTAACCATGGATGTAAATTTTGATCGGAAAGGAAAAAAATTTCCCAAAATTTTGCTTAATTTTAGTCCCTTATTTTACTAATCTTTTCTCTAATTACTCTTCCAATCATCCTTAAATTTTCCAATTAATTACTTGAATTCCTTCCTTTAAATATATCTTAATAACTTTTAAACTCCTTAGGTT